TACTTTCTCTGACAAAGACCCACCTCCTAGGTTCCTCAATCTTTTTAAAATAGGGCCACCAGGTCAGTATCCAGTATTCAACCCATGAAACCCTTGGGGTCATTTCATACTCAAACCCTAATGACATGCTAACACTTTGGTTGGTTTCCTCTGTTCTTCCACCTGACTTGGTCTGCTTGGGGTGCACAGGAGCAGCCAGGTGATCTGAGGTGAGGGTGCCAGCATATTGTAAAGGAGAGGCCTGCTTGTTTGTCCCGGCTGCCTGGCTAGCTTAACCCCGAAATAACCACACAGAAACTGTATTAATTAAATGACTGCTTGGCCTATTAGCTCTAACATCTTATTGGCTAACTCTTACACCTGGATTTAACCCATTTCAATTAATATTGCCACATGTCTGTGGCTTACTGGGAAAGATCCAGCATGCCTGACTCTGGTGGCTTCATGGCGGTTCTCCTCACTCTGCTTTCTTCCTCCCAGAAAGCGGTTCTGTCTTCTCTGCCAACCTAAGTTCTGCCCTATCAAGGACCCAAAGCAGTTTCCTTATTAACCAATGAAAGCAACACAAAGATAGAAGGAACTCCTACACCAACAGCTTGGCCAGGTTCTGGTAAAGAGCCTTTCTCTGTGCCTGTATGCATGCCTATATGAGCTTTTCTAGACCTCTGGGAATGGAAGGCCACCTCTCTTGGTCCTCATTGGCCTTTCTTGGTGTGTGTGTGTGTGTGTGTGTGTGTGTGTGCGTGTGTGTGTATGGAGAAAAGTTTCTCTTCCCCTCTTCCTATTAGGTCACTAATTCTGTCGGGGGGGGGGAGGTCTCACCCTGATGATCATATTTCGATATGATCTAATCATGGCCATGGCCTCACCTCCACATACTGTGACCCTGAGGGAAGGAATGCAGACATTCTACAGCAACCTTCTTAGTTCCACTGGGACCTTGTGGTCTGTTGACTCTTCTCCCAGTCTCTGTCACCTCCCAGACCAGAGCAGAAGCTGTCCCTCCACCTGCTGTGGAGACAGATCGGTCCTGTTGTTGTTACCAGCACCTCACACTTTAATTCTTGTGCTGTTTGGTTGTGTCCAACTAGAAAAGCCACAGCAGCGAGTGAGCCCAGGTACCTCTGCTGTCTCTGCACCCCAGACTGCAGGATAGTCATGTGCTATTCGGTTTTTCTGTGAATCCAGTGACCAGCCTTCACAGGCTCTTAGCAGCCCAGCTCCTAATGGGCTTCTTTTCTGTCTTCACTAATGGCCATTTCTCTTCTTCACTCTGCGTGTCTCTCATCCAATATTTCCCAACCAAGAAGTCCTCCCCTTGCTTCAGAAATGGTTGCAACCTCTGATCACCTCTCCAGGCTGCCTACCAGCAACCGTATTGTCCTGGAGGAGATGCCATGACCTTTACCACAAACCTGGTTGCTACTAAAGGTTAAACCTCTTCTCAGTCTCTACTCTCTCTTTCCTTGGATCAAGGGTCCTGGTTGTCAGGGAGGTCAGAGAAGGCTCTAAGTTGCATTTGCCTCCATGTTTCCACGACAGCAAGAGACTTCAATTCCTTCTGAAGTGCCTGCTGCTCTCAGAGCTCTCTAGTGAGCCAATGACTATCCATTTTGCCAGGTTCTTGACTCCAATATGATGGTGGTCAAATCTTGTCCTGGACTCCTCTGGAGACAAGTGGCCTAGGCTTACCACCTGGATATACTGAGCTCCAGGGATCTACCTGTCCCCATCCCATCCTCCCACCTTGTATCTCCTGTCCCTATCCATCCTGCCTCCTACCATTACAGGGCTGGGAATACATATATCTGGGGATGGGCCCGGAGTTTCCATTGTTCCTGGAGATCTGAATTCAGGTCTTCATGTTTGTGTGACAAGCACTTTGCCAAGTACTGAGCATTCTCCCTAACCCCTCCACCTTGTTATATGAGATAGGATTTTTCACTGGGATGAGAGACGTGCCAATCAGCAGGCCGGCTGTCCAGCCGGCCTCAGGGACCCTCCTGTCTCTGTAGGGCTGGGCTTACAAGCCACCACTTTCAGCTTTCACACGGGTCCTCTATGCTTGTGTGGTGAGCCCCTGGCCTCCTGAGTTGTCTTCTGAGTCCCGCCTCCTGACGTTCTCTGCCAGTTTTGCCAGTGCCCTGCAGTGAAGGAGCCATCTGGCAAGTCTGGTCCCCAGCGTCCTTTGCTGTCATTCCTGCTTCTTACTCAGTTCTCATCCTGAGCCGTGTCCTAACGCCACGAGCCCTCTGTTCCCCACCCCAGTTCTGGCTGGCTGCTAGGCCTGTGTAGATTCCCCACCCCTAACAAGCATAAAGACTGTAGTCCCATTGGCATTAGCAGAGAAGGCCCCGGCTCCTGGGAAGGTGGGTCAGACATGAGCAGGTCTAGCAAACTGACAGAGTTGTGTCCTTGAGGCAAAAGCAGTGTAGCACAGAGGGAGGCCTTTCCAGGGGTGGGGTCAGGAAGGCTTGAAGGACAGCTGACCGGGAGTGGGCTTTCATTTGGAGGGGAAGTGCTTCTGGTATAGAAGACAGTTTGTGTAGAAGCACAAGGTTTCCTCACAGGCAGTTTGCATACTTGCCTTAACCATTTCTGGCCTCGAGACCATGGCCACCTGTGTGTCTGGAGTAGAATACGGCCCTCAACATTCCTAGTCCACCCTCTGCGACCCATTGTGACACGATCTCCCTAGCCACCAATGGAACCCCAGGGTTCTGCTTCTGAGGCTCTGGTTGGGTCTGGACAACAGTCAGGTGGGCCCTGGCTTTGGCTTGTGTTCCTGTCCCCAGGGAGGATGGACTGGGGGCAGGTGTAGAAGGTGGAAGGTATGATAACACCTGGTGAGTGTGGGGCCATGTTCTCAGCAGAGATCTGGACGGGAATGTGCCTGAGCCTGTTCAGTTGTGGGACTCTGGAAATAGCAGGCTGTCCTCAAGGGAACTGTGGGGTTTCAGATGTGGCACCTGGCCGTTTTCTGTGTGCAGGTGGAGTACTGGACTCTCTGTTCTTCTAGTGGGACCTTTGGGATTGGGGATGGTGGCGTGGTCAGGGGCCTTGCAGACTGCCAATCCCCATGGGTAGTCCGTGGAGGGAGGGGTTAATTAAAGTAATTGAGCAAATGAACCAATTTAACTAAATTAACCAAGCTGGCCTTGAACTCATCTTGTACCCTAGACTGGTCTCAAGCATTTTGATCCTCTTGCCTCAACCTCATAAGTAGTTGGAATCACAGGCTTATAGTGCCAGGTCCAGCTTCCTTCCTTTACTTTGGCTCTAGTTTATTTTTATTTATTTATTTATTTATTTATTAAAGTTTTCTGCCTCTTCCCTGCCACCGCCTCCCATTTCCCTCCCCCGATCAAGTCCCCCTCCCTCATCAGCCCAAAGAGCAATCAGGGTTCCCTGCCCTGTGGGAAGTCCAAGGATCACCCACCTTCATCCAGGTCTAGTAAGGTGAGCATCCAAACTGCCTAGGCTCCCACAAAGCCAGTACGTGCAGTAGGATCAAAAACCCATTGCCATTGTTCTTGAGTTCTCAGTAGTCCTCATTGTCCGCTATGTTCAGCGAGTCCAGTTTTATCCCATGCTTTTTCAGACCCAGGCCAGCTGGCCTTGGTGAGTTCCCGATAGAACATCCCCCTTGTCTCAGTGTGTGGTTGCACCCCTCCCCGTCCTGATTTCCTTGCTCGTGCTCTTTGGCCATAATTTTTATTTTCTTAGAATTTATTTACTTATTTATTTTTTTACCTTTTTTAATGCTAGACTGGAAACCGTAAAATCCCAGCAATCCTCGTGTCTCCACCCATCTTGTAGCTGGGGTGCAAATTTGCTTGCCTGGCTTTTACGTGGGTGCTAGGCTCATAACTTCAGTCTTTGGGATGTGTGCCAAGCACCCTAGACCACGGAAACTTTCCAGTAAGCCTCCCCACCCCCATTCTTGAGAAAGAATCTAGTTCTATAGCCAAGGCTAGCCTTAAACTTGGGATCCTCCCACTACAGAGTTTTGGGGTGGCAGGTATGTACCCCCACAGGTGGCAAGATAGAGCTCCCAAGCAGTGTTAGTCTATATCATTGCTAAATACATTTTACTTCTTAGAGGAGTTCCATTAGGGTCTGCAGTGGTGGCTCCGTGGCTAGGAGCGTGTTGCTGTTAGAGGATCCAAATTCTGTTCCTCGGGCCCGCAATGAGGGGCTCACAGTCCAGCTTCAGGGCGTCCCACACCCGCTCTGGCCTCTGAAGGTGCCTGCACACACACAAACACACCACACACAGACACATGCCTCCACACAGATACGTGTACACAATTAAAAGTCAACCTGAAGGGCTACAAATGTCATCACCGTGTCGGAGCTGTGGCTCCTCTCTGCCCACTTTGTCTGAAGTATTTGAAGGGGGTTAGTAGGCTCGGATAGTTTAAGAGTTTTATTATATTCTGAAACTTTTTGGCGGGAGGGTAATTTTGAGACAGGGTTTCTCAGTAGCTATGGAGCCTGTCTTGGAACTCACTCTGTAGACCAGGCTGGCCTCAAACTCACGGAAATCCACCTGCCTCTGCCTCCCAAGTGCTGGGATTAAGGCGTGCACGACCACCGCTCAGCTATATTCTGAATGTTTTATCTTTAGGTAGTAAATCTCTCTATTCCTAGTTATGTCCAATTTTGGTATTTTTCTTTTTTCAAAGATTTTTATATTAGGTCAATGAGTTTTTTGTCTGCATGTATGTTTGTGCACTTTCCATATGTGTGCAGGGCCACAAACACCAAACAGGGGTGTCAGATCCCCCGGGACTGGAGTTACAGATGGTTGTAGCTGCTGTGTGAATGCTGGGAACCAAACCTGAAGCCTTTGCAAGAGCAGCCACCTCTCTGGGTCCTTTAGCATTTATCTGAATAATTTAGCCATATCCACTTCCTTTTGATTACTGCACCAAATAGAACATTCCCATCCTCTCTGCCTTTTCTTGTCCTTGTGCCTTAAACGTGTCTTCTTACAGGGTGACCTAATTGTCATCTACATCAAGACCTTTAATAAGAGGAGAGGACCAAAGTGACTTCCTGTGACAGCCCAGAAGATATAAACAAGGTACGCTGCAAGAACATTGGGAAATGCTAACAACCCTTTTAAGACATGGCATGGATTTGATATTTCTCTTTTATTTTTAACTTATTTTATTAACATTTAAATTAATGCAGAGTAGTTATGTGTGTTTATAGAGTACAGTGTAGCAATAGGTAATCATCAGGCCAGTCTTTAACATATCCGCTATCTCAGACATAACATTATTTCTTAGCCTTGGGAATATTCAAAGTGCTATTGGCTACTTAGTCTATTGATTGTTGTCCACCATAGTTACTCTGCTGTGCTACAGAGCATCAGATGGTATTATTCTCCGATCCAGCTGCACCCCTCCCTATTAACTATCATCTCCCCACCCCTGCCCCTGGCTTGTCAAGGCTCTGGGAAGCCACTACTTATTTCTTTGAGATCAACTCTATCTTCCACACAAATGAGAACACAACACAGGGTATTTGTCTTTGTGTATATGACTTATTTCACTCAGCAGAATGCCTACCTCTTCTATTCATGTTTCTTTTTTTATTTCCTTTTTTTTTTTTGTCTTGATTTTTCGAGACAGAGTTCCTCTGTAGCTTTGGATCCTGTCCTCGAACTAACTCTGTAGATCAGTCTGGCCTCGAACTCACAGAGATCCGTCTGCCTCTACCTGCCAAGTGCTGGGATTAAAGGCGTGTGCCACCACTGCCCAGAAATCTAAAGTCCATGTTTCTACAAATGACAAAATATTTGTCTTCAATGTCTGAATGGTATTCTTCTGTACATATATAGATGGAAGAGAGAGATAGGTGATAGAAAAATTATAAAGTCATGATAGGAGATAGATATATAAATTATAGATGATAGGTAGACAGATTAATTATAGATGATATGTAGATAGGCGATAGTTGATATATCGATTTGTGATTGATAGATGATTAGATGGTTAATAGATGATTGATAGATATGTTATAGATACTAATAATTATAGGTAGGTAGGCAATGGATAGATAGATAGATAGATAGATGATGTATAGATAGATAGATGATAGAATGATTCATAGGTGATGGATAGATAGATATATGATAGAGAGATAGAGAGAGAGAGAGAGAGAGAGAGAGAGATAGATAGATAGATGATAGATAGTTAGGTGATAGATAGATTATAGATAGATAGATAGATAGGAAGATACATAGATGATGGATAGATAGATAAATCGGTGATGGAGAGATAGATAGGTGATGGATAGATAGATAGATAGATAGATAGATAGATAGATAGATAGGTGATGGATAGGTAGACAGATATATTGATAGATAGGTGATGGATAGATATTCAGATGATAGATACATAGGCAGATCACTTGAGTCACAGTGGCCAAATAGCTGATAGAAACAACTTAAAGGAAGAAAGGTTTGTTTGGTCAAGGGTTGAGACCTTCTAGTCCACTCTGGTGGGAAGGGCATGGTGGAACACATGGTATTGGCTAAACACGTTGCTTTAGATCTGTGGCCGATGACACCTAGAACTAGGGGTCTGGCTACAACCTTCAAGTATTTGACCTAGCACGAGCTGAACCCCAGCTCTGAAGGCTCCTCAGTCCTCAGAAACAACCGGCTCTATAAGTTTTGACAATGAATTTGAGCTCACTTTTCCAGTTATGGTTACTGAATTCGCTTTGTCTGTGTGTCTTCTTCCTTAGATTTTTTTTTTCTGAATTGAACTGATTTCCCTTTTGTAAACACTTATCCACCCATTGAAGTACCTGTAAATCTGTAGTAGGCAGGGTAGCTCCAAAGCCTCCACCTTGCATGCTTTCTCAGTCACAGGAAGCGCTGAAAAATATAGGTGCCTTCCCCTCCCAAATAGCATATGTACACACACACAGACACAAGCACACACACACACACCACACACCCTTGGAGCCCAGAGAGGTCGTTGGATCCCCTGGAGCTAGAATTCCAGGTGGTTGTGAGCCACCTGGCATGAATGCTGGGAACTGAACTTAGTCTTTTGTAAACGTAGCATGTGCTCTTACCATTGGGCCATGTCTGCCACCCCACCGTCTTCTTTCTCTCCTCCATAGTTTGACAGTCCCCTTGTTTCTTAGAAGAATCCATATTTGAAATTCTTGTACAGGCTTGTCATTTTGATTGACCTGTGTTTGCATCTCAGGCGGTCTCCCTGAGATCTTTTGTCAACTCCATCAGATTAGGCATCTTGCTTCTGTGCCCACTTAGTTCCCGACTGGCAATGCACATCTTTATTCTACCCTGGTTCTTCACACAGCGCATGCAGGCTGGCTGTGCTCTCCATTCTCCTTTGCCTGGGCTTCAGCATCCTTCCTTGCCCCTGGGGTCCTAAGACTTAATTACAGTGTGTTTAACCACGAGTTCCTGCCATTGTGCTTGAGAGAAGCTTTGGGTTTCCGATATTGATTTATGGTTTTTAATTCTGAGAAAAAATGATTGTTTATTGCCTTTTCTGTTTCTCTTTCGAATTTCTGCTTAGGCCCATGCCACTGTTCACCTACCAAATCTTATTCCTGCCTTACGTGCTAGCTGCACATTCGAGCTAGCTAACTCTCTGGATTGAATATTTGTCTAACTTCCCTTCTAGGATTTTTATTTCAAGCAATCTTTTACCCCTTCTTATACTTAGAAGTTAACCCTCTGGGCTGTGAGCTGTTGTCGTCCCATAGTGCCTTGCTTCTCAGACCACAATGTTTGTTTGCCATTGGACTTTGAGAATCTTGCATCCTCTGTTTGAAGAATGTTTCCACAGAAAAAGGGACTGCAGCACTCCCAACCCATAACCACCCTAGTGCTGTGGAGGGGTTTTTACTCCAAACACAGGATTAGGCTTAGAGTGTGCTCCTTCCTCTATCCCAAGGCAGTGTCCTGAGTACTGCTCACACCCTCCCTGCCCTTGCCTGCTGCACTGCTCTGTCTCCATGTTGCTGGCTGTCTCTGCCCCTTGTGCGGTGTTCCACAGTCCAGCCCTGGCTGCCAAGCCTCTGGTAAGGGCACCAAAGCACTGCCTTTGGCCCCTCCTCCCAGGCCTTCCCTGCTCCTGATTCAGGTGTTTATTTTACTTCATTGTGTATTTACTTATTTGAAAAGGGCGATCCCTGGAGTTTCCAGCTGCCTTGGAAATTCCAGTGATGCCTCAGTACTGTGAGTAGCTAGCTATGAGGGAGCTGTCAGTCAGAGCATTCCTGAGGTGTGTGAGTAGCTCCTGGTGAGGGAGCTGTCAGTCAGAGAGTTCCTCAGGTGTGTGAGTAGCTCCTGGTGAGGGAGCTGTCAGTCAGAGACTTCCTCAGGTGTGTGAGTAGCTCCCTGTGAGGGAGCTGTCTGTCAGAGACTTCCTCAGGTGTGTGAGTAGCTCCCTGTGTGGGAGCTGTCAGTCAGAGAGTTAGTTGCTCGGGTATATGAGTAGCTCCTCGTGAAGGAGCTGTCAGAGAGTTCCTGGCATTCACTGGGAGAACGTTCTCTAAAACACCCAAAATATCCATTGCACTGAAAATTGATGTGGTTGAGCCAGGAGGAATGGATTAGTCTAACTAAGAGACTTTGGAAGACAAGAAAGGGGCCACATTCTCACTGATACAAGGCAGAGGGTGTTTAGTCCCTTGGCTCCCATCCTGGGATCTGATGATGGAAAATGGTGACAGGGGACTGAACATCAGCTTTTCTTGAACAGATGGAAGAACAGGATTCTGAGTCAGCATTTGGAACCCAGAATTCCAGGAGCACACACGAGCGTGAGATTTCCATTCCCTCCCATTCCTGGTCCTTGGAGATGTTGTTACGCAAATTGAAGGCCATAGAGCTCAAGAAGGATGACAAGCTGGCCAGTGTTCTGGATGCTGTGGGGGAGTTCGGCACATTCCAGTGGAGGCTGGTGGCCCTCACCTTGATCCCCTATGGGCTGCTGTCCTTCTTCATGTTCTCAGATAGCTTCGTTCTCACCGCCCAGAAACCCTACTGTAACACCAGCTGGATCCTGAAAGTAGGTCCCAACCTCTCAGTGGCTGAGCAGATGAACCTGACCCTGCCCCGAGCACCCGATGGCAGTTTCCAGACCTGCCTCATGTATATACCAGTGTCATGGGATCTCGATTCCATCATCCATTTTGGCCTCAATTACACAGAAACATGCAGATATGGATGGATCTACCCTTATGCTAAGAAGCGCTCCCTGATCAATGAGGTATGCTTGTCTTCTGTTGTGTTGACTATGGCTACCCAGAAAAGGAGACAGAGACAGGGGGCAATTGGCCTGAGTACATTCTGTGGGGTGCACCAGAAAAGGAACCTGGGGTTCTTGTTTCCCAGCCCTGTGCCCTCCCTGTCTTAGGCAGGAAGCTAGAGTGCATTTTGGTGTAGAGACAGGCTTGCCACCTGCCCAGAGAATTGCTTATTGTGTTGTGGCTCTTGTCTTCTGGTCAAGGAGAGACCCTTAGATGGAGGGCCCTTAGATGGGGCATAGGTAGCTGTGTGTAGGGTGTGTTCCTCTGTTACCCCTGTATTCTCTCCAACATCTGGCAGACCTTGGATCTAAGCCTGGGTTGAGGCCGTAGAGGCACAGGGCAAGGGTTACGGGTCAAGAGGCAACCAAGCAGAATGCACAGAAGCTACAGATAGAAAAGAAAAAACTTGTGTTGGGCATTTCTCACAGGACTTCATACCCTGAGTTGAAATCCGGGTCTTTTTAGTCCATGGGAAGCTCTAAGTTGGAGCCCAGGACCAATATTCGTGCCTGTGCTTAATAAGTCCCCAGCAATGTCCTTTCTGGCCCAATGTCTTTGCTTCCTCTCTCCTGGTTTAGATCCAGGATCTACCAGGTGCTGGACAGACTGAGTCCAGGGATAACAGAGTAAAGACACTTTACATAGAACTACCTGTCCCTTTCCCTGAATGTCAGTCATCTGCTCGAGGCAGCGGTTGTCAACCTATGGGTTGCGACACCTTTGGAGGTCAAACAACCCTTTATAGGGGTCTCATTTCAGATATACTGCAAATCAGTTATTTACACCATGACTAATAACAGTAGCAAAATCAGTTATGAAGCGACAACAAAATTATTTTATGGTTGGGGTCACCACAGCATGAGAAACTGTATTAAAGGGGCGCAGTCTTAGGAAAGCTGAGAATCACTGACCTTAAGGTTCCCCTTGGGGTCAATCTCAGTCTCTTTTCCCGAAGGGCTAGGTCTGTGTGGAGGCTTGAACAATGCTATTGTCTCACCTGCAGTTTGACCTGGTGTGTGGCAATGAACCAAACAAAGAGAACATGCTGACTGTGTTTCTGGCGGGCTTCTTGACAGGGTCTCTGTTCTTCGGGTTCTTATGTGACAAGTAAGTGTCCTGGGGTTCCCACTGATCCTTAGGACACCCTGCCTCTTTCTCAGGAGATGGCATAACGCTCAAACTCTGAATGAATCTCAAGCTGGGGAAAGCAAATGGAGGGATACTCCAAAGCCCTAGGTAACCCAAAGCCTGGCCCAGGTGCACCACCGAGGCTGGCCGGGAAGTGTGACCCTTGGTGGCATCTCCTCCTCATACCCGCAGGATAGGCCGCTATCCCGTCTTCCTGATGTCACTGGCAGGCTTCCTCTTCTTCGGATTCGGAACAGCCTTTGTGAAAAGTTTTAACCAGTATCTGTTCTTCCGCTTCACTTCAGCCCAGGCATCTCTGGGCTACGTCATCAGCAGTTCGTCTTTAGGTGACTGACTCACAAGGGGCAGGGTGGGATGGAAATAGGTTCAGTTCAAGAGGGAGCAGGAGGCAGATCTACCTGGGATGGACAGGCTAAAACCTAGTGGGGAAGGAAGAAGAGGCTCCCCTCTTGGCTTCCCAGTAGTGTGAGGGAGTCAGAAGGGAGTGCCCCCAACCCTCATCCCCACAGTATTCTCCTGTACCCCAAATGTTCCCCCTCCTGCTACTTGTGTACCCTGCACCTCGAGAATCAAGGGAGCTGCTAAGCCCTCTATTGCTTTGCTTCTTTCATCCTGAGCCTCACAGAGTTAGCCAACTTGTTCAGGGCCACACAGCAGGAAGGAGCTGGGGCTTCTACCCCAGGAGCTGTGTCATGCTAATACCTAAATGCATATACAGCCATACCTATATCCAAACGTATTCTGTCATTTTCCTGGTGCTCTCTGATTCCTCTTCTCATGGAGAATTTGTTGGAACACAGCCAAAGGGAACTAACCCTGTACAGAGCCTCAGGCCAAGGAGGTCAAAGCAGCAAAGCACTCCAAGACAGGTGGTTCCTGGTCTCAGCTCATGTCAGACCCCGTGAGAGGCCCTGAACAAGTTAGGCAGAAGTTTTAGAGGGAGTGGTTGGGAGTAGAAGAAATGGAAGTGTGAGTGTGGGTCTGAGGAGGTTCATCAAGACTTGGGGTGTGCAGTGGGAGATGCAGACATTCTATCTCTGAGAAAGATCTGGAACAGGCAGAAGACACTGTCTACTCTGAATTCATGTCAAGGGAAGGGTGGGCATGCCAGCCAGCTGCATGGATGGCCAACCTGGGGACTGCAAACTGACCACAGTTTTGTTCTCATGTGCTCTGCACAGTCATGGAGTGGCTGGTGGGTGAGCACCGGACCCATGCGATCATCCTGCAGCACTGCTTCCTAGGATTAGGGATCATTTTCCTGTCAGGAGTTGCCACCAAGATTTTCCACTGGAGGCTCGTGTTCTTACTGGCTGGCGTGCCCTTGTTTCCCATCATCTCCAATATCTGGTGAGCAGAACAGTAGAGCGCATACTGGGGGGTGATTCTCATGGGTGGAAGTGGATGGGGAACACGGAAATGGGTGGGAGATGCATGGCCTGAGAAGGAGCCAAAGCCGTTCATCACCCTCAGAGAAGAACCTGAGAAGTAGTCAGACAGTGGGAGTGACAGAGATCCCAAGATAGGCAAGGGTCAAGGTTAAAGTGGCGAGACCTAAAGCTTGGGATGGCCATAGCCACCTTCTTTGAGTTGACTTCACTGGAGGAGTGCTGAAGCATTACCCATGAGTTGAAATTGAGTAAATGGTGTCCCCTAAGAAATGACCCTTCAGGGGAAAAGGGAAAGAGGTTCTTGTGTTCAGCTGAGGCATGGTCAAGCTGTTTGCTGTTTTTAGATGTGGGACCACAGACAGCAATCTAAGGTGGGGCTGTGACGGTACCGCTCATGTAAGAGTGTGGAAAAAAACTTTTGTACCATTGGGGCATCCATCTTCGGCATTCAGGCCCATAGTATCCCGCAGACATTTCTAGAAAGCAGGAAAATTCAAAGGCAGTTCAGTCATTATCTGCTGTGTCCTACAGAATGTCTCGCAGACTCTTTAATGAATCAGGAACCCCAAAAGATCATCTCACCTTTAGGCAAGTTCAGTAGTCCTCTCTCTGCGGGTTCTCTGTGTCCAGTTTATGCAATAGTCCAGACAAGAGCAGTTTCTTGCTGAAATGGCTATCAAACTCCATAAGTATCCTCTCCAATTCCCATCTTCCTCTTGAAGTATATTGGTGCTGCCAGGAGCAGACGTGTCTCATTGTCATGAAAAATCCTAAGTTATTAAAACATTAAATAGCATATTCCGTAGTCTTTGAAAGATATGAAGAATGGCGATCTAACTGAAATATATATCTATATATCTAGAAAATCTAACTAACATGACTACAAACTTGACTATTATTAATGATTATCCATTAACAACCTATATGCATTACATTTTTAAATGAGCTACACAATCACAATACCTTAATCAAGATCAGAAACACATATACATATAACAAAATTGACCTTAAATTTAAATTACTAAAGCACAATCCATATCAATGTAAATTATTCATACCTATATCATATCCTCCTTTAAATGTAAAAGAACATTTATAAACAATATTTGGGAATTTGGGCACAGTTATTTCTCTCCAAACTGCTTCCTGCTGTATGGGGGCACTGTTAATCAGATATTTCAGGGTATAACCTGTGTGCTAGGTTCATCTCAGTCGTCAATTGATTGACGTAATTTTTTGAGGGTGTTCACAGCAACCTTTCAGGAGGGTGTGGTCCATCATACCATATTGGAATAGAAGCAATCCACAGGGTTTCATCCTCTGTGAAAACAAAAGAAGAATCTGTTTTCCAAAGTATCATATCCTTAGATCCAAATTCTGAAGTCAAGGTATTTTCAAAATATCTATGTTGGATTAGTTCAGTAGCATTTATAAACAAATATCTTTTAGCAGCTGTTGCTCCTTCCTCAGCATTCAAACAATTCAAAGAGAGCATAATAGCATACAGTATCAAAATTCTCTGTTTATTTTCCATCTTTGTATGGCTTTATTTAACTCTATTTTGTTTATTTTTACTCTTTGAGACAGGTTTTCTGTATATCTTTGTCCTGGAATAACTCTGAAGACCAGGCTGTCCTTACACTCTCAGAGATCTGGCTGTCTCTGCCTCCCAGGCATTGGGATTAAAGGCGTGTGATACCACAACTTGAAGTCACAGAGGTCAATCTCCCTCTGCCTTCCAAGTGTTGGGATTAAAGGTGTGTCCTACCATACCCAACTACTCTATTTCTTCCTTTTTTTACTTTTAAGAACTTTAACTTTTAGCCTGCATATATTTTTAACATGTTGTAAATCATTTAGAAATTTTCTGTCTTTGAATCTCTCTTTACTGTATCTCTCTCTCTTTTTCTGAACACATGAGCCTTTAAATTATGGAGTAATATGGGTAGAATTAAACCCGTGGCTTTGGCAGCTAGATCCAGCCCATTCCTTAGCATTCCAGCCTCATGGCAGAGGTACGGGTTGTAGCCATGTTTACTGCTACAACTCTATGGCATTTTAAGGTCCCTGCCAGCAAGCAAACTGCAGCATTCTGCTCAGAGACCACATTCAGTCAGACTACCTGCTTGAGTCTGAGTCAGAGCTTGCCCTGGCAGGATGGCCCAGAAAACCGGCATTTTAAAACAGCACAACTTTTTTCCTGCTATGGCTGAAAACAAACAAGCATTCAGTTGGCTTTTATCAACGCCATTTAAGTGTTTTGTGACAAAACCTCTTAAGAGCTGTAGGGTTTTGCAGCTAAAGCTGAGTCATGAAGCCTCTCTTAGATGAGAGCACTTGCTTGCCTCTAGCAAGCAGAGCAGACCCAAGAAATTGCTGCTATCAAGAAAGCATGCTTTACTCTATTGTTTCCCAAGCTTTCTCAGACTTTCTGTGGATATAGTTGTCCACACGTTGGGGGCCATGCTGTAGTGGGAACTGCGGGTTGCATTCCTGCCTCCATGCTCCCAGGCGCCTGGCTAGCATATGCCCCAAAATAACAATACACAAATTGTATTCTTTTAAACACTGCTTGGCCCATTAGCACTAGTCCTTTCTGGCTAATTCTGATATCCCGATCAACCCATCTCTAATAAACTGTGTAGCACTGGTCTTACCGGGAAAATTCAGCTTGTCTGACCTGGCGGCTTGCTTCATCGTGTCTGCCCCAGAGAGGGGAAGCATAGCGTCTGAGCTCACTTCCTCTTCGTCCTAGCATTCTGTTATGTTTACTCGACACACCTAGGTTCTAACCTATCAGGGCCAAGCAGTTTCTTTATTAATTAATCAATGACCTGCCTCCATCAGACATTTTATCATAGAAATTAGAAAAGTAAGGAATGTTACTCAGGGCAAAGGTCCTGAGATTGAATCACACTGTGTGATCTAACTGCCTTTATAACCTTTGGATGAGTCTTGTAACTTTCTAAGCTTCCTGAGGCCTATCCTCCTCCTCCTCCTCCTCTTCCTCCAGGAGAGAGTGTTTAAATTTGGAAGAAAAACTGCAACAATAAGGATATATTAATTACAATTCACATTCCTATGATGAAGTCCCTGCCAAAAGCAACCTTAGGAAGGGATGTAGGTTTATTTTTGATTGACAGTTACAGGCTACAATTCATCATGGCAGGAGCTAAGGCAGTTGGCATATTGTATCCAAGTCAGTAGGTAGAGTCAGAGAGGAGAGTGGAAGAGGGAGGAAGGAGAAGCTGATCTTCAGCTCACTCTCTCTTTTTTATTCAGTCTGGGAACATGGCCATGGGATGCTGCCCCCATTTAGGGTGACTATCACCAGCTCAACTAACCTGATATAGAAATTCCTTTACAGACATGCCCAGAGGCCTATCTCCTAGGTGACTGTGTGTTGACTGGTGTTTCTGTCCCAACCCAAAGAAATACACTGAAGTCTACATTAATTATAAAACTGATTGGCATAGAGGTTCAGACTTATTAGCTCTTATAACTTATATTATCCCATTATTCTTGTCTATGCTAGCCACATTGGTGGTACCTTATTCAGCGAGGCAGTCACATCTTACTTCTTCAGTGACTGGGTCATGACTGCAGAATCTGCTTCCTTCTTCCCAGAATTCTCCTGTTTTAATTGACCCAGCTCTACTTCCTATCTGGTTGTTCTGCCTATACTTCCTGCCTGGTTACTGGCCAATCAGCACTTTATTAACATACACTTGACAGGTTACAAACCATTGTCCCACAGCAACCCCCCCCCCACTTTTTTAAGGAAAAAGAACTCTGAATCTAATATCCTTTGTTTAACTTTTCTCCTGACTATTATCCATAACAACTTGCAACCAACATTCTAAACAAAGGAAAATATACATAGTCCATTTTTGGGGGGAATGTGGGCATAGGTTTCCAGGCTACTTCCTGCTGGTTGGGGGCTCTGATAATCTTATGGGGACCTAAAGAAAATTGAGAAATATCATCAAGTCATGACTGGAGTATCCTGTGAGGCTTGATCATCTCAGGCAGCAGTCTTGAATCTGTTCTGGATGCAGAACTCAGACAGACATCTGGGCCATCTGTTCTTACCAGGGATTTCTTAGATGGTCTTCCTTGATCAAACCCGATTTTTCTTAACTCAGAATGAATCCACAGCCTCTCATTTCCTGTGGAAACAAAAGCAAATCCTCTTCTCCAAAGTAACATACCTTTAGACTTCAGTTTTGAAGTCAAGGTATATTCAAAATGCCAAGCCAGCATTTCCCTCTGTCTTCCCTCTTGTCTAGTTTTCCTGCCAAATCATAGTCATTGTCTGCCCTTTGCAGCTTCTCTGTTTGCTGTGGACAGGTTCCCTTTGGGCAGTCAGCTTAGCTTCAGTTGCCTGTCCTGTGACCCACAGCAACGGCCATGCAACTGCCTCTGCAGTGTTCCGACAGCTCTGGTCCATACTGCCATGGTCAGGGATCACAACCTATTTTCTAGTCTGCTAGCCTTGTGGGAGGTATCTCTGTGTGCATGTGGTAAACCATAGTCATCAAGGAAGGAATACCGGCACATACCACATGGAGCAAGATGGCCAGCTCAAGATTTCTTCCGTGGAAGTTCCACTCTGAGTCATCTCTGCTGCTTTCTAAAAAAAAAAAAAATTGTATGTAAGTGTTGCATGTATCTGCAGAAGACAGAAGTATCAGTACTCCTGGGGCCGGAAAGCAGAACTGGGAGGTGATTGGGGTAGTTAAAGAGACCACAGGGCAAAGGGATCAAGAGACTGACTATTATCACTAAGCAGTGGGGTTTGTGGAGGCTTGAAAGAAGGTTTGGCTTCCACCAAGGAGCAGAAGGCATCTTGAGGTTGGTGGTACCTAAAGGTTCCTTGGTCACATGCTGATACAGATGGCCACAGCTGAGGCATCTCAGCTGGAGTTGGGGCATCCTGGAATTGTGAAGTAAGAGAGAGGTGGTCACACAGGGTTGTCCGAGAATCCCCACGGTGGCTGATGGTCAAAGGGAAGGTGGACGAGGCCAAAAAGGTTCTGTGTTACGCAGCTGAGGTGAACAAGAAGACCATCCCTTTAAATCTACTGAATGAGGTAAGAAGCCTTGAGCCAGGAGTGAGGCCAGGCCTGCAGACTGTGGGAAGGCCTCTTTCCTCATCCTCTCATGGGATCTTAGTCTACTGCTTCAGAATGATGGCAACAAAACTGAGCCCTGCCTGCCAAGGCCAGAGAGTGGCCAGCACTGGGGAAGGGGCAGGCCTTGCCTGGTGATTTTGGGCAGAGAGCAAGCTCGGGTCCTGTCTGCCATTGACTGGTCTTGTTGTTTTGTAGCTGCAGCCGCCGGCAAAGAAGGTTAAGAAGGTCTCGATCCTGGACTTCTACACCAATCAGCACCTTTTCAAGGTGGTCTTGACCATGGCCTGTGTGTGGTGAGTTGCTGGGGCTGGCTTCAAACTCATGAATGGCATGGAGGTTGGTCAGGCCGAGGGCCAGGCCTGTCTCTGTCATTTCTACCACACACATCTTCTCTCTGCCTCTGTTCCATTCCTCCTACACTCAATCCTCCCTCTTCTCCTCTCTTCCTCTTCCCCTTTCTCTTCCCTCCACTTCCTTCTCCTTTTTCTTCTCTTTCCCTCTTGCTGTTCCTCCCACCTCTCCATCCTACTCCTCCTTTCTCTCTCCCTTGCTTTTTTTGTTGTTCTGTTTCAGGTTTTCCATCAGTTACATCTATTTCACACTGAACCTCAAGTTGAAGGATTGTGGGATAGAGACCTTCCTCATACAAATAATCCCAGGCATTCTGGAGGTGCCGGCTCGGCTGTATTGCCTCGTTCTACTGGAGATTTTGGGGAGAAAGTGTTCCCTCTTCGCGAACCTCATTCTGGCTACCATCTCGTGTTTCTTCCTCCTTTTCCTTACTCAAGGTACAACCTGCCAGGAAGGCTGCCTCCCGTCTGTTCTCTTCTGGGGCTTCCTAGTGTCTCTTATCTTGCCTGGCTTGAAAGCACACGGCAGGTGGCTTCCTGCATGTATCATTCTTCCCACCCCTCAAGGAAACCCCAGCCCCCAAGACAGCATTATCCACATTCAGAGTCCTGAGAGAGGAACTCAGGCTATCCCCAAAGTGGTTATCCTTGTATGTGAGGGCAGGCAGTCTCCGGGACTCTATTCCAGTCCACACCAGAAGCAGATCTAGTAGGTCAATGAGAGTAGATGGTAGCAGAGTCTTCTTTGAACTCATGCCCCAGGCCGTGCCTCTCATATGCAGCCTTTGATTGGCAAGCATTCCCGGCTACCTATGCTGTCTAGGATAATCTACTCATGGAACATCGGGATGGTGGGATACTGGACCAGTGCCAATATTCTTGCTCAGAGGGCTTTGCCAGGGGCTCGTTGCCTGGCTCCTGGTGTCTGGTGTTATAGCCAGCAACTCAAAGATCCCTGGGCCTTGAACCTGGGTCAGTCTGTGGGGCCAGAGTGCACAGAGCCCCATCAATGGCCAAGGCCTACTAGGGGGCTGCAATGCATGCTTCCAGAAGGAGCCCCTTTCTTTCTCTCAGAGAAACTCTCGGCATCCCCCTGACATTATCAGATATTGATTAGCTACAAAACAAAAATGAAACTTTCTTAGGTTCACATATCCTGGTGTTTATTGGTATTGACATTGTTGCTGCTGTTACACAGAGCACTGAATCTAGCTGGCAGATTTACTGATCTCACGTGTGGGCAAGAAACTAGGCATAGGATTCTGGAGATAGAAGTCTGAGGGTTGGAGGCATGGCTCAGTTTTTGAAGCGCTTGCTGCAGAGACATAAAGAGTTGACTTTGGTTACCCTGCATTCAGGACAGTACATGTCATAGTCCGGTCCTCGGAGAGAAAGAGACAGGAGAGTCTCAGGTTTGCTGCCCACCTAATCTCACTGAATCAGCAAGTTCCAGGTTCAGTGAGAAACTCTACCTCCCCCAAATAGTGTTTGGCCTACCCTAGCCCTATTCAACTCTGCGAGGATAGTAACTTCAGGAATGACTGGGCCTATGCAGATTAACACTTCCTCTGGCTGAATGTCTGCGTCTGCTGGCTAGGTGACTAAGTAGTAGGGGTGGGCCATTCAGTTGCCTTTGGTAAGGGACTGAGAGAAAGCTGGAAGGCCCCAAAGGTAGGTTGGCCCATGACTCAGGGCCGTGCTGTCTTTACCCAGAGCTAAAGTCGACGATAACCTTGATGCTTGTGCTTGGACTGTTTAACATTGTAGCCAGTGTCTCTGGGTTCTTCATCTACACCTGTGAGCTCCTCCCCACTGCTCTCAGGTATGGAGTGTGGTGGGCTGAGTGGAAGGAGGGGGATGGGACAGTGCCAAGCCTGAGTATTTGTCAAAAAACATTTGCTGTGTTAAACACGGTTTGCATGGGTTGGCTCACCTATCTCTTGTCAGAAAACAAAACCCAAATGCTGTCCTTCATCGACCTTCTTCCAGTTGACAAAGCCAAAGACAGGTAAGGCCCCTGTTGTCAGTCATGTCCAGCAGGTAGCAGAGCTGGCATTTGTAAGGGATGATGTCTTAGTTTCTTTATATGTCACTGTGATCCAATGACCGTGGCAAAAGTAACTTAGAGAGAGGGGAGTGTATCGTGGCTCTCGGTTCAAGGAAACAGATCATTTATGGTGGGGCAGGCAGGGCAGAAGGGGCTCGAAGCACCTGACTCCATGACAGCACAGTCAGGAAGCAGCGATGCTTACATGCATGCTCTGCCACTGCTTGCTCTCTTCCCCCACTTGCATAGTCCAGGATCCCTGCCAAGGGAATGGTGCCGCCCATGGTCGGGAAGGCTTCCCAGTCCAGGTAACCTGATCCCCTGCAATCATGCTCAGAGGTCAGTGTCCCAGGTGATTCTAGATTCTGTCTGATTGACAAGGAATAATGACCATAACGTGGGGTCTGACTCTAGACCCTGCCTGGCACCTGGTCCTTAGTTCTTTCTATTGCTGTGGAGGATGCTGAGACCAAAAGCATCTGGGGAAGAGAGGTTTTGCTTCCCCTCACAGCACACCTTCATGGGGAATTCAGGAGAGGATCCTGGGGACAGGAACTAAATCTAAAGCCATGGTGGAGTGCGGCTTCCGTGCTCGTTCCTCATGGATTTTCATTTGCTTTCTTATACACCCCAGGACCACCTTTCCCAGGGATGGCACAGCTCACAGTGAGCTGGTACCTCCCACATCAAATCATCAGTCAAGGAAATGCCCCCAGACTTGCCCATAGACCAATCTGATGGGGACATTTTCTCAACTGAGACTCTCTCTTCCCAAATGACTCTAACTGTGCCAAGTTGACAAAACTAACCAGCTCACACCAGATGCTTGTAATGTGTTTGGGTTACCCTGAGGTTCTGCCTCTTCTACCACGGAGTTCCTGGTGATAGAAGCCCCATCTTACTGACCCCAGGGCTGTATCCTTTCCTCACATGATTATACACCATTATGATGTGTACATGATTAATAACTCTTTGACTCTGGATATCCAAGAAGGCAGCCCAGGAGAAATAACTACCCCTCTTATGTCAATAAAGAACTAGGCTCTTCCAGGTCACACACTTGGATGGAACGGGGTAAAGAGCAGAGGGTATGACTTTAGGTAGCTTCTCCCTTTCACTGTACCCAGCCTCTGAGCCTCTGATGTCTTCTAAACCAGTTCTCAACTCTGCTTTCAGGTCTACAGGTCTGGGTATGGTGGCTCTAGCCTTCTCAGCTGGAGGCGTCACAGCTCTGGCTGTCTACAACCATATCAAAACACAGCTGCCTGTCTTCTTCTGCTGTCTCTCTTGTGTTTTGGCCTTGTGTTTCTCCACCTTCGTGCCAGAAACAGGAAACCAGCCTTTCCGTGATAGCATGGAATACGATTCAAGGTAGATGAGTAGGGTCTGCTTGTCACAAGTGCTGGGAATTGAGAGTATGCCAGATATTGTCCATCCCAACGACAGATCTCCCTGTTCAAAGCCGTCTCCCCAGGTCTTCTGGAAAGGATCACTGGCCTGGATTCAGATTAGGTCCTGCCAGTTCTCCCCCTCTTTTTGGCTTTCATTGCCCATAGAACCTCCCTTTGCCCTGCCCCATATGCCTGTCTAGACTGGGGTATTATCTTTGGAGACGAGGGAACTAAGGTGACATAAATTCTTTCAGTGTTAGGACCTTTTCTCCTGAAGGGTGTATGAAAAGATTAAACCCACATTGTTAAAGATCCAGCATGTGGCAGGCATTCAGTGAAAGCTGGTGACAGAAACACTGAGAAAAGGTCCAAAATTCCGGGAAAGAAAGGGATCTAGTTGGGTCAGGAGATGGAGTCAGCCTGATCCTGAAATCCAAGAACAGGCTTAGCCGGGGATCTAGATGAATGAGAAAGCCCATCCCTCCCTGAAGAGGTTAGGATTGAAAATGTCTCGTGGTTTTTCTCAGCATCAACAGAGAGTCTATTGACTCCAAGAGGAAAAGCCAGAACATCACTGCAAAGATGCTATCTGAGGAGTCCATGTCTGACATCTGGGTTGACGATGTGGCAAAGAATACCATTCTCAATGCCCTGCCGCTAAAATCAGAAGCAAGCTGGTCCTCTGACACAGACTTGAAGGAACCCAGCAACGTGGTCGACGAAGTGGCAAAGATTACCATTCTCAACACGCTGCCGCTAAAATCAGAAGCAAGTGGATTCTCCAACACCAACTGAAGGAACCCAGCAACTGGGAGGAACCCAGTCCAGATCCCTGAGGGCCAGGTTCCCCAGAACATTGTGGACTGGACTTTACTGCCTGGGTTGAGGGACATGGATTCAAAGTCTCAAATTCTAGGCCTAGTCTGGCTTGTGGAGAGAATCTGTCCTTCTTGAAGGCTAGCCCTCAGGGTCTAAAAATAGCCCCTTGTACTGGGGAAGTTAAGTTGTGATTCATCCAATAAAATATAATGTTGTTCTTGAGATGGTTAGGTCAAAGTTGTCACGACAACCCAGAAGATGCAGCCTAGACAGGTATGGGGTGGTGGTTAGATAGGCAACCAAGGCTTTTCAGGATCTTTGGCTAAATCCTCAGGGACAGCAAATAATTCTCTGGATGGAGTGGGTGTAGTGTGGGCAATCTCTCTGTATTTCTGAGCAAGAACAAGGGTTTCAATCCTAACCTCTAGTCCAGCCAGCAGCTCAATGCCAGGCCGAGGTCGGAACCGATCAATGTCTGGACGGAATGTGAGGGATTACCAAGAATGTCCCTCATCGCTTAGGCCAGTTTCACTTCTTCCCCCTCCGTATTCCAAATATGTATGGCGTTAAAGGTCACCCACCATGGGCTTTATCCTGAGAGATGTCCTCTAAGAGCTTTAGGGAAGCTGACCTCTGACCTCCACCACCCCAATAAAAAGTCGTTGGGACATTTTGTGTTAATTTCAACTTAACACAATCTAGAATCAGCTGGGGATCATGTCTGCAGGGGAGCATCTCGATCAGGTGCGTTGCCGTGGGAACTCTGCCTGCTGTATGTGGTACCCATTCCTTGAGCTGGGTCCTGAACTGCATGCAAAAAGTTTAGCGGAGAAGCAGCCAGTGTGTATTTATCCCTTTCTGCTTCTTGACTGTGGCTGTAATATCTGCAAGGTCACCACCCTGATAAACTGTGACCTCAAACTCTAAAACTCTGAGCTCAAATAAACCCTGTGTCCCTTGAGCTTCTTCCTTCATGACATTTCATCCCAGCAAAGGAAAAGCGACCCTCCTAGTCAGTCAGCTTGACACAACCTAGAGTTGTCTGAAAGGAGGTGGAATTATTATAAGAGCCAGAGGGTACAGATGTCTCCAAGGAATCCACGCCTTTCAGACACAATAGGAGAGATGCTCACGTGAGCTCAGACTGTGGAGCAAGCCTGAGACTTGCATAGGGTCAGAAGAGGAAGGACACAAGCTTCCTCCCCTAACCAATTAGCTCTCTAAGGAAGACACTAGCTGCAGGAGATTTCCTGCTGGCAAAGGGGACATGGCTTTTCTCTAATGGACTGTCACTGTGTTTATCAACTGCACTTCAGGGCAGGTCCCATGCCCAGGAGCAGCTGGCCAGCACAAGGGAACTGGGAAGGAGTTTTGTGGGCTTTTTGTTTCAGTTTTCTGTGTTCTCACATTTTCTTTTTCTTATTAGTCTTTTGCTTGCTGTTATTTTTGTTTTTGTGGGTATTTATTTAGTTATTATTTAGTATGTATACAACATTCTGCTTCCATGTATGCCCTCACACCAGAGGAGGGCGCCAGATCTCATTACAGATGGTTGTGAGCCACCATATGGTTGCTGGGAATTGAACTCAGGACCTCTGGAAGAGCAGCCAGTGCTCTTACCCACTGAGCAAGCTCTCCAGCTGCTCCTTTTTTTAATGTGTGTGTTCCTTGCTTTTCATTCTTGGGATTTTTTTTGCTTTGTTTTTGGAAGAGAAAAAGAGCATAAAACAGAATAGGTAATGAAGTGGGAAGGATCTGCGAGGAATTGAGGAACAAAACACGATCAAAATATGTCATAAATTTTTTTTCTAATTAAAAAATTTCATTAAAATGTTCAAAGTTTGCCAGAGGGTGGTGGCACAGGCACTTGGAGGCAGAGGCAGTGTAATCTTTGTGAGTTCAAGGCCAGCGTGGTCTATAGAGAGAATTCCTGTACAGGCCCCAAAGCTACAGAGAAACCTGTCTTGATAAAACCATATATATATGTTCAGAGTTGACTCTTTAGACCCCACATCCAGAGATGTTACTATAGTGACTTAAACAATAGGGAAAGCAACAGGCACAGCCCCAAGAGAGCGAATGTTTGCATATTCTGTAGGGGTTGTGTCTTGTATAATGAAGTATGATCCTTTCTTATATATTTATTTATTTATTTTTTGTTTTTCAAGACAGTGTTTCTCTGGCTGTCCTGGAACTCCCTCTTTTATTTTTTGTGATAAACTTTTTTTTAAAAAAAAAACTCTAATATTACTTTATATTGTTTAAATTTTCATATTTGACAAGTAATATAACATGCCTGTAATCCCAGCACTTGGGATGTGGACACAGGAAAAAATGAGTTCAAGACCTAGTGTGAACTACGGAGCAAGTTCAGGGCCAGCCTAAGCTACAGAATGAATCAGACTCTGTCTTTAATATATAAAAGTATGGGCTGGAGAGATGGCTCAGAGGTAAAGAGCGCTGGCTGATCTTCCGCAGGTCCTGAGTTCAATTCCTAGCAACCACATGGTGGCTCACAACCATCTGTATTGAGATCTTGTGCCCTCTTCTGGCCTGCAGGCATACAAAGAGGCTGAACACTGTGTACACAATAAATAAATAAATCTTTAAAAAAGACATAAAAGTACATAATATAACAAATAAATTAAAGAGTAAGATAAAATGATAAATATAAAATTAAAATACAAATTTTGAAAAGGATAGGGTTTATTGAGAGCTCCTGAGTCCAAGCATTTGCCACCCATGCCAAAAGGATTTCATGTTTCTGGGCAACTCTAGTTACCTATCCAGAGACAGTCATGTAAAAGAAGCAGGCACAGTCACGCTTTTGCCGCTCATTCTCCACCATGAGAATAATATTTCAAAGTTCAAGCTACCGAGATGTGTACATAGACGATAGAGGGAGCCGGGCATGCTTAGGAAGCTCCAGCGAGAGTGGGAGGTGTAGCAAGCTTTGGGGTGGCTAGTGGTCCCTTGGGGTGAGTGGGGATGCCTGGTGCCGTTTGGTAGGCCCGGCGAAGCATGTTGCCAGCTTTCAGAGCAGCTGAGTAGCGTTTCTCCCTAACGTAAGGGACACATGACCTTCAGGGCCCAGGGCCCACTTGGTACCGTGTTCATCCTGCCAACTGGCGGGTGCCATTAAGTCTTCCAGTGGCCCTCAGTGCAGGCCACACAACCAGTAAGCCAACTCCGGTTCTCTGCACCCCCACAGGCAGTACAGAGAGAAATTCCATTAATGCAACAACAAAACTGACCATAAAGACCCGGCTAGAGTCGGCAAGGGAGGGGGGCGACTGACAGGAAGGGTAAGTGGCCAGGATAGAGGACCCGAACTGAATGCTTCCTGGTTTGAGAGCCCTCGAACACTAACAGCACCATGAGAAGCCTCATGGTGTCAGCAGTGGCTAAGACCTCGTGAAATCCTCTCAAATATCCACGGACCCGAGTCACCTGGCCCCTTTTATAGATGAGCACACTGGGTTCCTAGGAAGTGAGGAAGCTGCAGATTCTCAGCTTAGACTCCGGATTGACAGTCTGGTCCCAGACTCTCCAGTTAGACGGTGATTGGGTTGTTGCGTGTCCAAGGTTCAGACCTTTGGAATCTAGGTGCACAGACCATAGCCTTTGAGTAACTAACTCACTGTTCCGGCCCCTCTGACACCTCAGGTCATCATGCCTGCTGTTCTCCAGTAAGACGGGAGCACAACAGACAGCAAAGGGCAGGCTGGCTGTGGCTCGTGGCTACCCCAGTCCCTGCATGTGGACTTTGGCTATCTTCCAACTGGACCCGCCAGAGAGCAGCAAGGACCTCCAGACAAGAAACACAGAGCATCTATGACACAGTGGGGGCCCATGAGAACCTGAGCTGCTAGCTCCAGAGCCTGCCAATACTTTCCTCGGCTGTCCTCCAGCTCGAGGTGCCCCTGACTTGGGCAAAAACACCCGGCCCTTCTTCAAGGCACTGCCAAATTCAGAGCCCTGGGGACTTGTCCAAATTTTAAAATTCTTTTCACCCCCAGAAATGGACATCTTACCATGGCTGTGGTGTGCAGTCAACCTAGCAGCCCTAGCTCATGCCACGCTTTGCAGGAATCTGCCAGATGGTGAGCCCCGATGAGCACCTGATGGGCCCCTAATTCTCTTACGTATTGCCATCACCTACAGAACCACATTGTCATCCAGCAGCTCCCGAACAAAGATCCACCTGTGAGGCTGGGGTGTTCACCATACGATGCCTCTGTAGCTGCCCGTCCAACAGACAAGGAACCTTGAAAACACTGGGGCCGGATGGCAATGCTTCACCATGGTCCTCTAAGCGGGAAGCCTGAGATCTCGGGGAAGCCATGCACTAAGGGTAAGAGGCGGTTTGGGCAGAGTGTAGCTGGGGCCAGGAGTTCTCCGTGAAGATAGATGGGCAGTGAGGAGAAATGGAAGATGGAGATGCAGGCAGATGGAGGAAAAGCCAGGGTGAAAACGTGGAACGGGAACTGCAGAGTTAGGCAGCAGAGAGATGGGAGACTTCTCCCATCTCCAGAGCTTCCTCTTCCTGTCCTGACACTAGCCAGCACTGCTGTTCCTCCTGGTCCATGGGGCAGCAAGGAGGTGGGGATGGGGGTGGAGGTGGTTGAATTACTGCTTCTTCTGGGTCAAGATGCCCAGGTCCTCTTGGACTCCCCTTCCCCCACTCATTGTTCTGTCCCAGAGATCTGAAAAGCAAACAGGCCGTGAGTTCAGGGTTGTGTAACAAGGCAAGGGGAAGCACTACTCAGTGTGGTTATTTACCTGATGTGCGAGGCCAGAGTCCATACTTTCACAAGGAAAGCAGCAGGCTCACCTTGGTTGAAAAAAACAGACTACAGAGGGCCTTTGCTCTAGTTTTGAAGCCCTGGATGCTTGGCTGTGGGCCTGGTAACACCCCGTCTAAGTAGGGGAAAGGTTGGACCACAGGAGCAGATTCCTGCTCGGGTCACAGTGGACACCCCAAATGCTGGAACCATGAACTGCCTCAGAAATGGGGCTATCCACACAGTGATGGCCCTGGTCCAAGGCCAGATCATGTCACTCACAGACAGAAAAGACTACCTTACAGCTGTATGACCCAGAGAGGACACATTCTAGATGTTTCCTTAGGGCACGTTCTCTGGAAGGCAGGCTGGGTTGAGACTGTGGAGGCCGAGGATGGGGC